CCCCCCCACCCCCGACCCCGACCCCGTTCCTGATTGGCTGGGTCTGAGGTCTGCATTGCTAACAAGTGGTGCTGACACTGGTGGACTGAGATCGTCCTTCGCCCCGTTGGGCAGTGATAGATCACACCTTCTCCACTCTAGCTTTTCAGTTGTGCCCAGGAAAAGCAAATACCTGCCCCGGGAAAGCCAAAGTCCATACTAAGCCAAGGACAAAGCTTTAGATAAATAAACCTGAGGGGCTAGTCTGATCACATAATGTGGCCGTGTGCTTTACTAGATGGGAGCTTCTTTGTAACTTCTCTCGAGGTGGATTTAAACTACTCCGTGTTGGAATATTTAATTTATTTTATAATCGCATGGTATTGGGGGCATAGTTTTCAAAAGCTGCAGATAGGTATGCAAGGTCAGCAGGCACGGCCTGCACTCCAAATTGCATAGAAGGGCAGAAGACACCATGCCTACTTAGAGCTGGGTGACATTGCCAGGATGGCTTTGCCGTTCTTAATTCTAGGCTCTAACACTAGGAGAATATCGAGGCACTGAACAGTGTGATTTGAATGACAATAAGAAATATAGCGTAATGTAACTTTTAAAACTTTTCCATTTTTTTTCTATTTCATAGTTACAGGTAAATAGTGGCTGGTCACAGCAATCTGTAAAAAATTACACAGATTTTAACTTTATAACTATCCTTTTAAGAATGGCATATATGAAAAAATGTGATGTATGGTAAATAAAAGAAGCCAGTTTAAGAAGAAAGATAGCCTCTTTAATAAATGGTACTGAAAAAGCTGGCATTCTGTAAGCTGAAGGCTAAAATTAGACCCACGTCTACTTTCTAGATCATCATGCACTAAACTACAGTCCAAATGGATCAAAGATTTAAAAATTAAAGCAGAAACACTAAATTTCCTGGAGGAAAATGTAGGTAGAAATCCTAAAGACAAGAGGTAGGTAGAGAGTACAGAAGCAAAAACCAAAGTGCATGGGAAATACTTCAAAGAATCTACAACTGGGATCTCATCTTTTGGAAAAGTTTCTGCACATCAAAAGAAATCTCCAACAGAGTGAAAAGAAAACCCACCAAGTGGGAAAAAATTATAGCTGACTGTCCCTCTGACAAAGGCCTTCTATCTACAACATATAAAGAATTTTTTAAAAAGGCAGGATCCCCAAATTCAGTCCAAAAATGGGCATCTGAGATAAATATACACTTCTCAGGAAAGAAATATAAATGGCAAGTAAATATATCAAAAATGTTCAACCTCATTGGTTATTTGAGAATGCAAATTAAAGCAATGCTGAGATTCCATCCCAGCCCAGAAAGAATGGCTAACATCAAGAAGTCAGCCAGTAGCAAATGCTGGAGGGGCTGGGGGGGCAAAGGAGGCCTTCTCTGCTGTTGGTGGGAGGGCACACTAGTATAACCACCATAGAGGTTGGTGTGGAGATTCCTCAAAAAACTCCAACTGGGGACACCGTCCAGCCCAGCTAGCCCCCTCCTGGGTATTTTTCTAGAAGAAATGAAAACATCATACCATAGTGATACATGTGCAGCCAATGCTTATAGCAGGGCAATTTGTCATAGCTAAGTCTTGGAAGCAATCCAAATGCCCATCAGCTAAGGAATGGATAAAGAAGATGCGGTACTTTTACACAATGGACTCTATTCAGCTATGAAAAAAGATAAATTCGAGGCTTTTATTGGTAAATGAGTGCAACTAGAGACCATACTCTGAAGTGAAATAAATCAAGCCCATATGTGCAAACACGGTGTTAGCTCTCCTTAGTGTGAGAACCTGGAAGAGGAAATAAAATGTGAAGGGTACAGTAGGTACTGGGAACAGGGAACGGACTAAATTGCCTGGGCAGACCTTGAATTTGTAATCCTCCTGCCTCGGCCTCCCGAGTAACTGGAATTACAGGCATGCATTACTATGGTAGGCTATTTTTAATGTTTTGAGGAATTTCCATGCTGCTTTCTACAGTAACTGTACTAACTTACCTTCCCACCGACAGTGGTAACAATGCCTCCCCTTTCTCTGCGTCCTTGCCCGTACCTGTTATACTTTGTCTTTTTGATAGGTGTTCAGAACGAGGAGCTACCTCACTGTGGCTCGGATTTTAATTTCCATGACTACTATTGATGCTGAACTCGTGCTTTTTAATGTACTTGTTGGCCATTTGTATGTCTTCTTTTAAGAAAAGTTTACTTAGATTTATTGTACATTTTTATTTTCATTATTTTATCCTTGAGACAGGGACTTGCTATGCAGGGCAGGGTGGCCTTGAACTCACAGCTCTCCAGAATCGGCCTTCCCTGTGCTGGAATTACAGGCATGTGCCACCATACTCAGCTCCATTGCTTACTTACAAATAGCTTATCACTGGTGCAACCACTGTGGAAATCACTGTGGGGATTCCTCAGGAAACTGGGACTGGAGGTCCCATTCAACCTAGCTACCCACTTCTTGGGTATTTTTCCAGAAGAACTGAAAAAATCATGCCACAGCAATATGTGTGTACCCATGTTTAGAGCAGCACAATTTATCATAGCTAAATCTTGGAAATAACCCAAATGCCCATCAGCCAAGGAATGGATGAGACCACATGGAGTATTCCTCAGCTATAAAGAAAGATAAACTTTAGGCTTTTATAGGTAAATGGATGCAGCTAGAGGCCGTACTCATAAGTGAAACGAAACAGACTCGCATGTATAGGTGTGGTAGTGTCTCCCTCGTGTAAGAACCTGAAAGAGTAAGATCCAAAAGGTGCAACAGATACTGTCAAAGGGAAAGAGACTGCTCAGAGGAAAGAGCAACTGGGATGCAAGAAAGGAAAAAAGGAAGAGGGGAAAATGCACACGTACATATACCCAAGACAGCTTAGATAATTGTACTACTAGTTTCTACTAGTTCATTGCAAGGAACAGTTAGTCCTTACACTGTTTGATCAATCTTGCCTGCTCATATCCGGTAATCTGAGCAGTTACTTCGAAGACAACAATATGCAGTATAATAATCATTGTTAATTTCTACCATCCTGTTTTGAAATCCTGTATCATTTTAATTATTTTTCTCTTGAAAATAAAATAAAACAAAATTAGCTTATTAACTTTTTTTGCCATTGAGTTCTTTTTACATTCTGGATACCAACCATTTTCTAGATGGATAGTTTACAATTATTTTCGCTCATTCTGCAGGGGCAATTTTTTCTCTCATTTCACAGATTGCCTTCCGTTCTGGTGTCTCCTTTGCTGTGCAGCCTTACAGAGTGGTGTAACCCTATTTATCCTATTTTTGCTTTGCTTTCCTGTGCTTTTGGGGGGAGCATATAAAAATACTGCTCATTTCAACCTTTGTAATACAGTTGGAACATTATCGTATGCATGTCCCGTTCCTGGGCCTTGAATGTATCTTTCTGCCTCTGTAAACTGAGAAGCTTTCATATCACCCAACCTCTGCTCCAGAAAGCTGGGCCAGGAACTGGTAAAGTATGGCCGGGAGATGACTCAGCGGAATAAGTGCTTCCCTGGCAAAAAAAAAAAAAAAAAAAAAAAGTAGTGGTAAAGTATCAGGACCCTTTCCTAAGCTGGAAGAAGGAGACAGGAGAAAACACCGGAGCTGAGGAATCCAGAAAAAGGAAGAAGCATGCAGATATGAAGGCTGGAGGCTTCACTCCTGGAAGCCTTGAAACAGGAGACTCGGGCTGGAAACAGGGACAGAGGGGGTGATCTGAGTTCCTTCCTGTGCCTTCTCATGCAGTCTGTTTTTCCAGGTTACTCTCTGGAACATGTTTGCTAGGATATGGTCTAGGCTACCCATATCTATGTATTAAAAACTCAGATTGCTGGACTTTAAAATGATACCAGTGGGAAAAATTCTAAGTCCAGCAATCTGCATTCTAGCACCCTGCTCAGAACTGGAGACTCGTCTGTGTACCGGCGGCTCAGTGCTAAAGGACCAGCTCCTGCCTGGCTCTCCCTAGTCCTGCTCAATCAGGAGAGCAACAGCACACGGGCATTCCCCGCCTCCTGAGCAGCTCCTTGGCCCACTATTGCCTGGAATATCTTTAATTGCAGTTCTGATCCCTGACTCCACAACGAAGAGCAGAAGCTTCACCCCAACACTCTCCCCAGGAAAGGAAATGCACCAACAGACTGGAGTTATATCCATGGTTGGACGTGGACATTCGGCAAGGGACAAGAGCTGCAGGAACAAGCCGGCGCTGCTGCCGGCCAGGCTTCTGCTCCCACCTGCGCTTGGCACAGCCCACGTTGGCACAGGGATGGCTACTCTTCTGCCTGGCACCAGAGCAGGCGCTCATGAGCCCCCCGCCCCACCCCAGCCTTCTGCAATGAGTAGTTCCTGGATTAAGTTCAGACCTTGTATCAGCGGCAAATCCCCGCCCTGTCTCTTCCTCAAAGAAAAGTTAGGCTGGAGAGGTAGTCTCGAGTTTAGCTGTACAGTAGAATCATTCAGGGAGTTTTGATCACCTTGATACTTGGAATTTACTGCAGGTCATTTAAACCAGCAGCGTGGGCGTTCAAGTGACTTCACCACGCAGCCAAGACGGAGAACCGAGGGCAGCTCCAGCCGCGTAGGGCTTCCTCGCACTTCCTCTCCAGAGGATCCCGGGCAGGAAAGACAAG